CCAAGTATGAAACCATTTAACAAGGACTGAGGCTTGCTTTTGGAAGGGCAAGCAGAGAGATCGGGGAAGCCCTGCCCAGAGATCTCAGCCTGTAGCCTCAGAGCAGTTGCTCTCAGAGACAGCCTGGAAGCTGCTGAGGAGGTGAAGAATCTCGCCAAGCACGGTGGCCCCCATCACATTGTTCGGTGATTCTAAAGAGCATGGCTGGAAGCTGCTGCGCTGCTCCCTCTGGGCATGTATGAGACTCCACAAGTCTGCCCAGAGCTTCAGCTACTCCTGGGGCAGTTGTGCGTGCAAAACAAGGTGAATGCATGGGAGTTCCTAGCACAGGGCCAGGCAGAGAGTGGTTCCCAGTCCACAGTGGTCTCCCTCTACCCTTCCTCTGTCCCTTCCGCTTTATATGAAGACCTCTCTGTTAGACTGGAAGTCTTTGCTGACTTTGGCTTTGGTGTTCCCAACTGCTTTCCATTATGGGCGAATTTTCAGCTGTTGCTCCATGAGCTTGAGGACATTCCGGCTTTGTGAACATCTGTTAGAGCTGTGAGGAGGAGCCAGGGTTGAAGCACAGATGGGCCCGTTCAGACTTGGCTGGGGCTGCGACTCTGCCAGCAGCTCTGCTTGGTTTGGCTTCCTCGGGCGAGGTTGGACCCATGTGGCAATCTGGGCGTTGTTTATTTAGCTATTTTTTCGTGTTCTCCTCCTCCCACGGCTTGCTTTCCTTTACTGTAACAGCAAGTAGTCTGTCTGTAGACAAAGGATTTGTTTCAACTGGATGTAGTTAGGGGACTTAGAAAAGTTAAGAAAGTTACTGGGGCTTATGCTTTGATGCAAGGACATCCTTGGCCTATGTAGGGAGAAGCCGCTTGATTTCATTAAAGTTGAGATAGTGCTGCTGGTATACTTTTATTTTCTAAAATTAGTCGAGCAGCATGAGTCAGTATGAGTGAAAAATATTTTTTAAAGAACTTTTTAAAGTTAAAAATAGGACAGTTTTTAAATTTGGAAGTTAACATTTGATAGCGCTCTGTAATATTTCCAATATATAGCCATATATTTTTATTTACATTACCTATTCCTCCCTAAAAAAGATTGTTACCAGTATTCTTTTATAACCTGCTTTTCCCTGTATCAGTCAGGGTCCTGGCATGGAGCAGGTGGCACACTCAGATGGAGTGCTTAAGAAGAGTTTGATAAAGAGTCCCTTTGCAAAGGTATAGACATGGAGAGGGTTGGTGCTAGACCTCGGGGACTAACGACAGGGAAGACCACTGCCACCCCTAAACATGAAGAGGCACATAAAGAGAGGGCTTTCCAGAACCCCACAGGTTACCAGGACTCTGGACATACAGCCAGGGGAGAGGTCACCCAACAGAAGTGGTAGCTTTTAGAAGAGAAACAGCCACCACCCTCCTCAGGCCTAGCAGAAAGTGGGTCAGAGGGAGTGAATGCCCTTCTGCTTTCCAGAATCTCTCTGTCTCGCAGCTTCCTGTAGGTGTCTCCCATTGGCTACATCCAACCATAAATCCATGGGCAACTCGTGGGTGCAGCGTGTCAACCACCCTGGGGTGCTGGGCCTGCCATAGAAAGGAGCAGTGTGGACCTATAGGGTCAAATAGAGGTATCAGGGCGGTGCCTGTGGCTCAAAGGAATAGGGTGCCAGCCCCATATGCCGGAGGTGGCGGGTTCAAGCCCAGCCCCAGCTAAAAACTACAAAAAAACCCCAAAAACCAAATAGAGGTATCAGCCATCCCCTTTATTTATAACAACACAAAGTGGCCTAAGATAATAGTGTTAAGTTATATGTTTTAAATAATATAACGCTTTGAATTAAAAATATCAAGGAGGATTCATTTCTGTGAACCTTGGAGCAGGACTCAGATCACCCCTTCTGGTTCATCTTACATCCATTGTGTTTAGATTAGGGGCCCAAGAAGATCACGGAGCCTGAAACTTATAAACTATCTCCTTAGGATAAAGGATAAAGTCAGTCTCACCAGGACCATGTTGTGGGATTTGGTTTTTTGTTGCTGTTCTTTTTTGGTGGTGGTGTTCTATTTTTTTTTTTTTTTTTTTTGAGATAGAGTGCTATGGGGTCATCATAGCTCACAACAACTTCCAACCTCTGAGCTCAAGTGATCCTCTCACCTCAGCCTCCCAAGAAGCTGGGACTATAGGCATCCACTACAATGCCTGGCTAGTTTTTTTTTTTTCTATTTTTAGTAGAGACTGGGGTCTTTCTCTTGCTTGGGCTGGTGTTGAACTTCTGAGGTCAGGGGATCCCCCCACCTCGGCCTCCCAGAATGCTCGTATTAGAGGCATGAGCCACTGGCCCCAGCCTAGGACTGTGTATTTCAAAGTCTCCTAATTACATCTTTGTTTCTTACATTTTTCACAGCTTTCTAAGAGCTTTGGCTCTAGCCCCTTCCAGCTCTTGTTCCGATGGTTCCACACTGCACACTGCAGGAGCAGCATTGCTGAGTGTGGTACCAGGCCATATTGCCGTGCTGTGAATGCCAGGACTAGGCAGAACCTGTGTGACGCAGTGGCCACCGGGCTGACCATACTCATGTGGTCTGTGAGCTCCTTCTGTTGTCATTGATCTGCTCAGGCAGACTGCAGCAATGTGCTGCCAAGCTTTGTTCTCTACTGGCCATGCTAAAAGCAAGGATTCACCAACACGTGGACACTCCTTAATTCAAGTGCCTTTTTCAATTCAGAAACCTAGAGAAAGTCTTCATGGGAGTGGCTACCTTGATAAGTCATCTGAGTACTGATCCTGTCGGTAATAGACAAGCTGCCTTCTAAATGTGTAAATGATTGCTTCGGAGACCTGGGAATGCGATGGTGGGAACCACAAGTACTTGATGGAAGAACTCCTAGTAGACATGTAACCAAGCTACATCAGTTGCATCAGTTCTGAGAAGGTGTCGCTGCTGCTACATGTGTTGGTCAGGGCAGCTTACTATTGGAACAACCCTTTTCCAAACTTCAGTAGCTTATATCAAATAAAGGTTTATTATTTCTCCATCACAATCTAGTCAAGTCAGTGGGGATGGGGAAGGAGATAGGGTGTCTCTGCTCCAAACAGCCCTCCAGGGCCCCAGGCTTCTTCCTTCTAAGGCAAGGGTTCTTATCTGGAGTCCACAGAGCCTGGAAGGGGTACACAGAATTCAGGGGGTCTGTGAACTTGGATGGGGGAAAAAAGCATATCCTTATTGACACCAAACTTTTAACTGTAATTTAACATTTCCTGAAATAATGATTAAACTGTGATTAAACTATCAAACTATAATAGCATTGGCACAACCTAGAAATCATAGATATTTCATATCACATTATAATTTTAGTAGATATCATGAAATATCATTTATGCTTGACACTATTTTAAACTATGATAGTGATTAAACCCACTTCAAGATCTTATTATTAGGCTCGGTGCCTGTGGCTCAAGTGGCTAAGGCGCCAGCCACATACACCTAAGGTGATGGGTTCGAATCCCCAGCCCGAGCCTGCCAAACAGCAATGATGGCTGCAACCAAAAAGTGGCCAGGCGTTGTGGTGGGCGCCTGGGGTCCCAGCTACTTGGGAGGCTGAAGCAGGAGACTTGCTTGAGCCCAGGAGTTGGAGGTTGTTGTGAGCTGTGATGCCATGGCACTCTACCCAGGGGGATAGCTTGAGGCTCCGTCTTAAAAAAAAAATTAAAAAATTAAAAAATAAAGATCTTATTATTATATTTAATCTGTTAAAGAGTACATGTATTGCCATATCACAAAATATCGTTGTTTTTATAACTATATTTCAGTACGCTTGCTTTCCTTTACAATTTATGTATTTTATTTTAAACATTAAAAAATACTATTCTGAGCACAGGTCCATAGGTTTCACCAGACTCCCAAAAGGGTTCATGGCAAACAAGATTAAGAACCCCCCGGTCTAGTGCTTTTGCTGTCCCCTCAAACCTTGGGTGCCCTTTGCATCTAGTCAGCAGAATGGGCTGGGGATAACCTTGGGGAGTTTAGGGTGAAGCTTATGAAGAATGTCACTCCTGCCCACATTCTGCAGGCCCTAATTCAGTCATTTGAGCCCACTTGACTGCAAAAAGTCTGGGAAATGAGGGCCAGCTCTGTGCCCAGGAGAATAAGGCAGCAGGGCCTGGTGAGTATATGGAAGGGACTTTCACCAAGCCCAAGAGAACAGTCAGCAAAGAGATGGCATCTCAATGACAAGAGACATCCCTGGAGAAAACTCATTACCTACAAAATTCACTCCAGGGAGCATAATCATAACGATATAGTAATAGCTGCTATTGGCTGAATGATTACTCCTATCACCAGTCAGCTAACTGATCCATTACTGTGACCTCATTTAATGTTCATAACAACCCTATGAGACAGGCGCTATTATTGTTTCTACTTTATTAATGAGAGCACTGAAAATCTGAGAAATCAATTCAAAATCAGTGCTCTCAATCACAGTGCTAGACTGAGACTTTCATTGAAGAAGGTGGGATGTGTACAGATGGAGAGGGTGGTCTCTGCAGGCAGACTCCCTGGATTCGTATTCTAGAGTTGCCAGTAGCCAGTGCATGGACTGGACACTTTGTACTGAAGCTCTCTGTGTACCTGTAAGATGGAGATTAATAAAGTACCTATCTTTTAGAGTTAAATGAGATAAACACTTAAAACAGCCCCTAGCACATATTGAGTACTCCCACAGGATGATAGCCACTGTTTTTTATAGTGTAAAAGGCCCGTGACCACCTTCCTGAAAGTGATCTGGAATATTCCAGCAAAGCTCAGTTTTCATGAAGGATGTGAGAAAATATTTGAGGTCACCGAGATACCCACCAGCTGGGGGGCCTTAGACTGGTGTTCCTAGTTATAGTCAGGAGGATGAGAAGCTGTTGCTTTTCTAATAAAGAAAATATGTCATGATGACAGAAAGAAAGTAATGATAGAGGATAGTTTTCATTTTAATGTAACTTTCTTTCCCCTTTACAGAACTCCATGAAGGTGATGTTCAAATGCCTCTGGAAAAACTGTGGGAAGGTGCTGAGCACTGCGGCAGGTATCCAGAAGCACATCCGGACCATCCACCTGGGGTGAGACGTCCCTCCTTCAAAGTTGATTTAGTCTCTGCGAGTTCAGTCTAGGGCCTCCTGCACTCAGGAATTGCACACCACACTGTACCTTGAAAATTCTAGACACTGGGATGGCTTGGTCTTGCTAATCTCTAGAGCAATGTTTCTCAAGCTTTTTTATCTAACGGCACACTTGAACCTATAGTTCAATGTCTGTGGCACACTTAAATTATAGTGATCCTAAAAAAAGAATATATTTACTGTGCTTTGAACTTCTTTTGAAAATAATTAATAATCTTTAAAATTTTTCGTGACACACCTAAGATCCTCTCATGGCACACCAGTGTGCCATAGCACACTAGTTGAAAATCACTGCTCTAGAGAGATGGCCGCTGCAGGTTATAGAGGCCACTATACTTATAGTAGAAGGTACTTACACTTTACAAGTACCTCTCACATATATTTTGTTTTTGACCTTCACACATGACCCTGCAGAGCTCACATTATTATTCATTTTCAGAGGGATCTGTGGCACAGAGCAGTAAGTAAACTTGGGAGGCTTTACATTAAATCCTTCTCCTTTTCTGGAACGACCATCAGAGCTGTCATTGTACAGAGATCTGACAAGTTCCTGAACCCACCACTGTGTACTTACATTGCCAGCACTGTACAAACAACTCAGTCATGTTTCATAACCTTGTATATCAATGTCTCATAGCTGTGTTCTCATAGACACATGGTGGTGTCTTGCCAAGTGGCATTCATGATTGTTGTTGTATTTTGTGTGCCATACAATGATGGCTCTGATGGTCATTCCAGAAAAAAGCATTCCAAAATTGCTATGAAGGGCAGACCAGGCAGTAGCCTTGGTGCATAGCTTCCCACGGGGAGTCCTCCAAAGGTGATCTTAGTGATATTCAGCAATGAGGTGTGCAGCACTGTTTCTAGCATGAGTTTGTGAACTTAATTGTCAGGCCTCATATATAGCCTAAAAAGGGTTGAAGAATCACACCAATCTCTTCTTCCATTGATGTTCCTATAAATCTTGATGATCTGGCTCTGTCACGTTCTGTTGCTTAAATAAGCCCTTTATTTATAAAAATCTACACTTGTCCTCTGATTATATAATCTAAAGGAAAAATAAAATGAATCTTTAGGAGCCACAGTGGTTAGGGGTCACCCTTGGGGGTAGTGGTGGTCCAGCAGTCTTGTTCTATCACCCTGAGTCTTTCTTATCTAGGAATCTGGGATGTAGAAGGGACCTTGAAAAGCCATAAGCTATAACCAGTGTTCTTAACACAAATACAGACAGGTGACCAAGCTCTGCCCTGCTTGGGCACAGAAAAGTCCTTTCAGCAAGACACAAGAAATAAACAAAATAGTCATTTTACCCAGCAAGGAATAAATTTAGGAAATGCGTTGTCCGTAACAAGTAGTGTAAACGGAAGGTAAAAATAGGTTCTAAGGTGATGTTGCCAATCTGAGGGTTGCTTTACCAGTGACTAGAGAGAAACAGGGATCTACCTCTCTAGCTTTAGGCTGACATTGGAGGATGCACCAGCGCCTTCCAGGGCACAGCACCCAGGAGCACTGGAGTGTGGCCCAGCAAGGCTGGGCTTCTGCTCCCCTAGGTAGAGGGTCTGCCCCCATGGGGAAGAAATACCAGGTGAAATCCCTGCGGCAGAACACTCTCAGTCCTATTCCTCAAGCCTCAGGAAAGGAAATCCTGGAGTGTCTCCCCCTCAAATCTCATTGTCAAGACAGTTCACAGTGTAAACAGTTCAGTTATTTAAAGGCTTTGAAGGAACTTCCCAAAACTGTAGCCAAGAGGTAGAGTATTTGTTTTAAAGTATGCCTGCCCAGAAAATTGAATCCTATTCAGCCCTACTCAGAAGCACATGCTGGATGTATTTATAGACTGTAAGTGGTATCACACCATTTTCCCTTGAGCTCCTGGGGTGCTCTCACAGTGGGTGGGATTCAAAATGCAGGCACTTTATTTGCTTCCTTGGAACCCCCTTTTTACTGATGTGCTTTTAGAATTGCCTTAGCAAATTATGGTTCATACCCCTGCCAGCCACTGTACAGAGCGGGCCTGGTTAGTAGGACTGCACAGCCAACTTATGTTTAGGAAGCCCAGCACCTGTGTCCTCTTATGGACTGGGAGAGAGAACATGCCTCTGCCTTAATTCCTGAGCTCAATTACACATAGGATGATGGGACATTTTTATTTTTTATTTTTTGAGACAGTCTCACTATGTCACCCTCGGCAGAGTGCCGTGGCATCACAGCTCACAGCAATCTCAAACTCTGGGGCTTAAGTGATTCTCTTGCCTCGGTCTCCCAAGTAGCTGAGACTACAGGCACCTGTTGCAATGCCCAGCTATTTTTTTGTTGCAGTTGTTTAGCTGACCCGGGCCAGGTTTGAACCTGCCACCCTCAGTGTATGTGGCTGGCTCCGTAACCTATGTGCTATGGGCGCCGAGTCTGATGGGACATTTTTAATGAGTGCTAGCTGTTGGGAGAGTGAGGAGAGAGGCGTATCAGGGCCCAAAGAAGACATGTGCTTGTGTCTGACACAGCTGCAGCGCACACCTTGCCAGTATAAAAAGTACACTGCTTTTTCTCTTAACTCTCACTCTGTTCTTATGTGCCAGGGGCTGGTCCTGATTTATTCTCACATAGCACACACAATTTCCCCCAGGCCTGTGTGTCTATTAGTAGCACTTGGCAGCCAGCAGAAATTCAGCCAGCTATTAACTGGAAAGGAAGTGGGGACAGGAATAGAACAGACGCTCATTCCTCATCCCACTCTCTGGGGTCTTTAATGGTATGCTGGTTGGAAAGCCAGGCCAGCCAAACCTGATACGGTACAAAGACGCCTCCCCAGACGCCTCAGCCTGAGAGCCCAGGGGAAATGGATCTAGGCTGGGACAAGCCTGAAAGGCCTGGGGAGGTGGGAGGTAGCTTTTTTATTTTAGGTTCTGCGTAGAGATCAGGAGTAGGGAAAAAACTTGGCTCCGAGTCAGGGTCTGCTGCTGCTGCCTGACGCATCCGTGAAATGAGGGGACACTATGGCCTGTGCCCCGCTGTCCCCTAAAGCCAGGTCACTAGATATGCACCTCTTTTCTAGAAATTAACAAATGTAATAAAGGTTCTATGAGGTTATGGACAGTTCATTTAATTTTATTCAAAACTTTCTGTGGAAAAATCCAATGTTCCATGTCCCAGGAAGAACTTTGAAAGTGCCCAAGAAGATGTTTTTCCTGATGATAGTAAAAATTAAGACCTTCTGACATTGTCATTTTTCTTTAGTAAGAACTTACTGCTTATTATGTGTCAGGAACATTTCTAAGCACTTTATACTTCCTCACTTAATCCTCACCACAATCATTTGCAAACAGAGAAACTGAGGTGCAGAGGCTATGCGGAGGCTGCCGAAATCACACACACAGCTAGTTAGTGTCTGAGCCAGGATTCAAACCTAAGAGGTCCAACCCTAGAATCCATGTTTTTAATTCTGTGCTTCAGCCTCAGCTTCTGTCCTTCATTCATTCATTCAACATTTAATAGGCATCTACTCTGTGCCAAATTCACCAGTAGGTTTGGGGTGGCACGATGGTGAGTAAGAGGGCCCGAGAGAATCACTATCACAGTGAGGTGACTGTGGGGTTAAAAAAAAAAAAAAACAGGCTCGGCGCCTATAGCTCAACCGGCTAAGGCGCCAGCCACGTACACCTAAGGTGGCGGGTTCGAATCCCCAGCCCGGACCCGCCAAAACAACAATGACGGCTGCAACCAAAAAATAGCCGGGCGTTGTGGCGGGCGCCTGTGGTCCCAGCTACTTGGGAGGCAGAGGCAGGAGGCTCGCTTGAGCCCAGGAGTTGGAGGTTGCTGTGAGCTGTAATGCCACGGCACTCTACCCAGGGGGACAGCTTGAGGCTCTGTCTAAAAAAAAAAAAAAAAAAAACAGAAAGGTAGAAAGTAATTCACTAAAGGGCTGACCACACTTCAAAGGGAGCACAGAGAACTGACTAACTCTGAACCTGCAAAACACACCCAGAATTCAACTAATTGTCATTTCCACCTCTGCAGCCCTGGCAGGCCCTGCTGAGGCTCATCTGGATTATTACTGACAACAGCTCCTCCATGGCTTTTTGCTCCTGTTCTTGCCCTCCCGTCCTCGATTTTCTAGACAATATCTGCAGTGATTTGGCTATTTCTTTTCCAAAAAAGTTGCATTTCTCAAAACCCCCAGTAGCTCCCATAATATAACAATAGAAGCTAATGCCACTGCCATGGGCTACAAAGCCCTATGTATCTGTCGTCTGCCGGGTCCTCACTCTTCTCATCACTCCCTTGTTGTGTCCTGAGCCCCAGCTTCTGGCCTCTCTGCCTTCCTAGAAAACACCAAGCCTGGCCACTTGGGGTCTCTGTGTCACTCTTCTCTGAAATGTTCTTCCCATTGTCCAGCCTGGGCTTTCCTGCACGCACTTCTCTGCTCAGCTGTGACCTCTTCAAGAGCTTCCCCTGAACGCAGTCTTAAAATAGTGCCCTTTCCCAGCAGCCTCTGCTAAGGATACTCCTTTGCTGCTTAGTTTTTCTTTCCAGGACTTACCCATACCTGATGAATTAAATATTTATTTTTTTATGAGTTTCTTGCTTGCCTCCCCCACTAGACTAAAAGTTCCATCAGGGCAGGGTCTTATCAATGCTTTTTTCGCCATGTTATCAGGAGACCCTAGAACAGTGCTAGACATAATAGAGTCTCAGTAAATTGTTGAATTATTAATTGAATGAATGAATGAGTGAACTGCTTTAAGGGGTCGTGAAGGCTTCCCTGGAAGTAGACAGGTGAATGTCGTAGGATAAGCAGGAGTGCACCAGGCAGACAAAAGAGAGGGAAAGCATTTGAGACAGAGGTAAGAGCAAGGGCAAGGTTTCATGGCACAAAAACAGATTGGCTTAATAGGATTGTTTTGCTGTCTTTTATGCTAGGCGTGTCGGGGACTCTGACTACAGTGATGGAGAAGAAGACTTTTACTACACTGAGATCAAGCTCAACACAGACTCAGTGGCAGAAGGACTGAGCAGCCTGGCCCCGGTCTCGCCCTCCCAGTCCCTGACTTCGCCTCCTACCTTCCCCATCCCAGATTCAAGCCGAACGGAAACTCCTTGTGCCAAAACCGAGACTAAGCTGATGACACCCTTGAGCCGCTCGGCTCCCACCACCCTCTACCTCGTGCACACCGACCACGCTTACCAGGTGACTTTCAGGGGACCTGAGAGTAATCACTCTGACCTTGACTAAAAGCGGTAGCCATCTGTGGAGGAACAGTATCACACACGGCAAACCAGCAGCTTCATTTCTGGTTTTTTTTTTCTCCGTTTAAAACCAAGATCTCACACGGATGGGGTTCCCATGGGTTTGGGGTTCCTATGGGTTACCCTCAGATTCCTCAGTGTCCACTGCAGACCCAGTCCCCGAGAGGTTGTTAGGAGGATTACAGTCCTTAATAATAGAAAACCCTCAGAATGGTGCCTAGGCATGTAGCATGTGATTCTGTTAAATTAAAAAAACATTGAATGAATGAAAAGGTGAGCATTGGAAACCTTTGGTACAATAACAGAATCACCCTGCACCCCAAATCTGGGACTTCATGGGTGCTTAAACCTCTCAGATTAGAGTAGTGGTGTTCAATGTTCCCCACATCAGCAGTGTCATCATCACCGGGGAGCTTGTTAGAAATGTAAATCCTTGGGACCCCTCCAGACCTCCTGGCTCAGCGACTGGGGACAGAGCCCAGTATTCTGTTGTAACAGGCCCTCCAGGGGATTCTGAGTCATGCTAGAGTCTGACAGGACCTTAAAGACAAATTCTGCAAGTTTAGGACGTTGTTACAACTCCTTTTTTTCCCCCCTCAACACATTCAAATTTTTAAAAAAACTTTTTTTATTCCATAATTCTTAACTACCTAATATAACTTTTAAAGATCTCCTTTACATACTTGTAATCAGGTTCTCCCACCTTTGTTTTATTGAAACTTTCCATATAATTGAATAGTATCCAATTAAATTGAAGCACAGAATTGTGTCAGTCATTCATATTGTTAGGTATTTACTTTTTAATCTGTTCATTTTTTTTACCATCATTAATAACTCCACTATGAACATCTTCGTGCCTGCAGCTTTTATTTTTTCTTTAAGTTCTCAAAAGAGTCATTGTTGAATTAGGGGATAGAATATGAATGAACAATTTATGGCCTTTCCTACATGGTGCCAAAATATTTTCCATTAATGCCAATTACAAAACCAGGTCACTAGCGAATATATTTGTAATTAGAAATGTCAAACCTATGAATTCAGCCACTTATTTAGCAGACTTGAACTCAAGAGGAATAGAATAAAGCTAATGATAAAATTATTTAGTATAATAAATGTTATTGTGATTTATTATTTTTCAGCATTACACTTAGGTCAGAAACCACAGGCTTGAATCAATTTAATCCAATCATATATATATACACACACACACACACATATTTAATTCAATCATATATATATATATACACACACACACATTGAATTCAATCATACACACATATACATAATGACAGAGTTAGAACATGCACTAGGTGATCTAACAGGTCCCTCTCAAAGCATTATATATATGTGTGTGTGTGTGTATGTATATATACACACATATATAAAAAATATGTATTCATGATATTGGGACTTTTATGTTTATATTATAAATGTTCAGATATTAAAAACACAGCAAAGAATGAAAATTCGTCTCTAATTCCAGCAACCAGAGAGCCCCTTGTTGATATATTTTTGTATATGTTCTTCAAGACTTTGTTTATATATACACATTGCTTAAAAAGGATCCATTGTGATACTGTTTTTACTATGCTTTTAGTATAATACGAACATTTTCCCATGCCAATGAGTCTTCACGACAACAGCATTTTAACTGATACATGTTCATATTTACAGGGTACTGTAATATTTTGTTACATGCACAGGGTGTGTTATGATCAGGTCAGGGAATTTAGGATATCCACCTTGGATATTTATCATAATCTATGTGGGAGGGACATTTCAAATCCTTTCTTCGAGCTATTTTGAAATACAATATAGCCTGTCGTCATCCTGTTCTGCTATTGAACATTAGATCTTATTCCTTCTAACTGTATGTTTGTACCCATTAAACAACTCTTATCCCCTCTGCCTCCCTCCACACACACAATCTTTCCCCACCTCTAGTAACTATCAATCTGCTCTCTACTTGCGTGAGATCAATTCTTTTATCTCCTGCATATGAGTGAGAATATGTGTTTATCTTTCTGTGCCTGGCTTATTTCACTTAATAACCTCCACTTTTTATCCAGGTTGCTGTAAATGACAGGATTTCATTGTTTTATATGACCAAATAGTATTCCATTTTGTACATATACCCAGTTTTCTTTATCCATTTGTCCATTGATGGACACATTGATTTCCTATCTTCACTATTCCGAATAGTGTTGTAATAAACTTGAGGGTTTAGGTATCTCTTTGATATACTGATTACCTTTCCTTTGGATAAATACCCAGCAGTAGACTGTGAATTATATGGTAGTTTTTAGTTTAGCGTTTTTTGGGGGTTTTTTTACAGTTTTTAGCCAGGGCTGGGTTTGAACCCACCACCTCTAGCATACGAGGCCAGCGCCCTACTCCTTTGAGCCACAGGCACAGCCCTAGTTTTTAGTTTTTTGAGACCAAATACTGTTTTCCGTAATGACTGGACTGCCAGGCCCAGTGGCTTACACCTATAATCCTAGCACTCTGGGAGGCTGAGGTAGGAGGATCACTTGAATTCAGGAGTTAAAGGACAGCCACAGCAAGAGTGAGGACTGTCTTAACTAAAAGTAGAAAAATTAGCCTGGTGCCTATAGTCCCAGCTACTTGGGAGGCTGAGGCAGGAGGATCACTTGAACCCAGGAGTTGGAGGTTGCTATGAGCTAGGCTGAAGACAGAGCACTCTAGCCTGGGCAACAGAATGAAAGTCTGTCTCAAAAAAAAAAGAATGGCTGTACTAATTTACTTTCCCACCAAGAGCATATGAGAGTTCTCTTTGCATTCTCACCAGCATCTATTATTTTTTATCTTTTTAATAATAGCCATTCTTACTGGGGCAAGATGATATCTCACCATGTTTTTTATTTGCATCTCCCTGATGATTGTGATGTTGAGTATTTTTTTCACATACCTATTGGCCATCTAATACATACGTACAATGTTGAAAAATGTCTATTCGGATCATTTGCCCACTTTATCACGGGATTATTCAGTTTCCTGCTGTTGGGTTGTTTGAATTTCTAATACATATAAGTCCTTTATCAGATGAATATTTTCTGACTATTTTCTCCCATTCAACAGGTTGTCTCTTCACTCTGTTGATTGTTCCCTTTGCTGTGCGGACACTTTTTAGTTTAAGAGTTCCATTTGTCAATTATTGTTTTTGTTGCCTGTTCTTTTGAGGTCCATAAAATCTTTGCTTTCCTATATTCTTTATGTTTTCTTCTACTAGTTTTATAGATTCAAGACTGAGGTTTAAATTTTTAATCTTTATTGAATGAACTTTTGTATGTGGTGAGAGATACAGGTCTAGTTTCACTCTTCTGCCTGTGGATATGCAGTTTTCCAGCCCCATTTATTGAAGACTCTGTCCTTTTCCCAATTTATGTTCCTGGTACCTTTGTCAAAAATGTTCAGTGTAAATATGTGGACTTACTTCTGAGTTCTCCATTCTGTTTAATGGGTCTATGTGTATGTTTTTATACTAATACCATGCTAACAACATCATTTTTAATGGCTCTGTAGGTATATCATGATTTATTTACCTATTTCCCTAACACTCGACATTTGTTTTTTCTACAGTTTGTTTTTTTTTTAACAATATATGGTTGTGCAAGGAGCATCCATCCTTGTGTGGTTTCCTTAGCACAAATTCCTAGAATGTCCTTAGCACAAATTGCTAAGAATTTTGACACATTGCCAAATTACCCTTCCAAAATGTACCAAATGACCCACCTACCATCACAGTATAAAAATGTATATTTTCCAGTGTGGCAGGAATTGTCTCTTAAGTATAATAAAATAGGTATATGTATATAATAAAATTTCTTTCCAAATATCAGCAGTCAAAAACCATATCCTTTTATACTTTAGATAGGTCACTTAGGTATAGAAAAAGCTTATTTCTAGCTACTCCCTTTGACCCTGTTCAGTCTCCTCATATTATGTAATTAGTCTAAGTTATTAATACAGCTGAAACTATTTCTGAGGCTCGCCTTTAGTGATGAGAGCTTAAGGCGTTGAGGAAAAATGTTCTTTTATAACAGCTTTCTCTGTTTTTTATTGAACAGGCCACACCCCCTGTGACCATTCCAGGATCAGCCAAGTTCACCCCCAATGGCAGCAGCTTCAGCATTTCCTGGCAGTCTCCTCCGGTCACTTTCACAGGCATTCCAGTAAGTAGGAAAACAAAAAAGCCAGAAATCTAGTCAAAGCCAATTTAGAGTAAATTCAGAGAATAAATTGAGAAACGTGCAGGAAAAGTCAAAAGTCAGAATGCCAGAGGTACAATATTTTTTAAGTGACATTTGTAAACTTATCAGCAAGCTATCTTATGGTCCACAAAAAGGTGTTTATAGTTTAGAAAACTAGAAGAGAGTTTCAAATGTTGATAAAGAACTTGGAAAGGTATTGAGTTTTTTTGTGTGTTGGTAGTATAGTTGTTATATTTCTAAAAGCCTGTAAAATTAATAGCTGAACTTAGACTTCTTATAGAAAAGCTAGTGTTATTATAAATAACTTTATAAAGTTACTTTGAAATTATTATTCTGGGCTCGGCGCCTGTGGCTCAAGCGGCTAAGGCACCAGCCACATACACCTAAGGTGGCGGGTTCGAATCCAGCCCGGGCCAGCCAAACAACAATGATGGCTGCAACCAAAAAATAGCCGGGCGTTGTGGCAGGCACCTGTGGTCCCAGCTACTTGGGAGGCAGAGGCAGGAGACTTGCTTGAGCCCAGGGGTCGGAGGTTGCTGTGAGCTGTGATGCCATGGCACTCTACCCAGGGGGACAGCTTGAGGCTCTGTTTCAAAAAAAAAAAAAAGGAAATTATTATTCTGTAGGTATGTCATTTTGAAGATTCAAAAAAATTAAACTGAAATCATTTCTTTCCTTCAAAGTCTGAATAATCCATCCTGATGGATATTTGAAAATAAATGAGGGCTGAAATACGCAGATTTAAGTCATATATAAGAATTGATTTGATATGTTAAGTGATTGGTAATTGATAGGTCACCATGAATTAACTTGATTGCTAACGACTCTTTTGAAAATATATTGGGTCAAAAAATAAACATATATTGGGTCTTTTATAGCTTATCATAAAGTAGCCGTAGGCCTACACACTGCTGACACTCAAGAGGTGTATAACTCCTGATAAGGTTCATTGCGTGGGTTATGATAACAGATAGTGACCTTATTTTTCTCTTCTCCTCTCCTTTCCCAAAGGACCTCACAAAAGTCTCTTATTGTCAACCATTGGCAACTCCTAGAGGTTTCCAGCAAAGTCCAAAGCCCTCTGTGGAGCTGACAAAAATGAAAGTAACTGAATGAATTATGCTGTGCTCTATCAATGAATATTTATTAAATTCCACAGAGGAATAGCCAACAATAAAAGCATCCTGCTGGCAGCAATTTGGGAAGGGGTGGCTTACAGAAAATACTCCTGGAATGAGAATTTTTAACTGAGCCATGGCTCGGGAGTCATTATTAAAGTTACCCATCTCATTGAATAGGACTAACCACTGGTCCCTCTGCAAGAGTGACCTTGTCAGTAGACATTAGAAGAGACCAGTTTGGATGCGGCGGTATTAGTTTTGCTTCTGGCAAGAACATTGATCCACCCACTCTGATGTGGGTGACAGAGGTTAACCAGCTGTCGTTTGGGGGACTTTTTTTTTTTCTGGTAGGAAAAGACCTAAACTGACTCTCAATATTACATTTGAGAAAACCCTTCTGTGTGGACCTAGAATGGCAGCTACAATTAGAGAATTCCTGGGACCTGCTGTTTTGCATCCTGTTACTTCCTGCCTTTAACTTGGGAGGAATTTTCAAGAGCATGCACCTTATTGCTCATCTGGTATAAAGACAAGCACAGCGTGTAGACGAAATAGCCCAGTTCAGACAACTTTCCAAATTACCTCTGAGACCAACCAACCTGGGAAATTTTTCTTCCCTTTGCTTTCTTAATTAAATCATCTCCTTCTGAAGTATAGAAAAATCATTCTGAGTAGTTTTTCACTAGCTGCACACCTTCCACGTTTCCTAATATCTTACACAGTAGGATACCAGCAGCATGCTATATAGTGTTTTTCAACAAAGAAAGTTTAAAACTTTGCTGTAGACACTACATACCTCTCCCCTCATCTTGATGCCGCTGAGTTTTCACAGAAACCCCTCACTTCACCCTTACTTGGTGAACATGGGCATTCTATTTTTTTTATTTTTTATTTTTTTGCAGTTTTTGGCTGGGGCTGTGTTTGAACCCACCACCTCCAGCATATGGGGCCAGCACACTACTCCTTTGAGCCACAGGCACCACCCAAACATGGGCATTCTAAATAAGAGCTTTAACAGAAAGTATATGAGTACAGAGTGGCTGGGTTCACTGGCTATTCCTATGCCAGCTTCTGATATATTCTTTCACCAGAGATTTCCAGTCTTGCTGGTTATGTAAGCTGTTTTATTTAGCTAAGACTTTGGACGGTTAAGGCAAGGAAGCTTGCCATTCCTATTTAAGGTAAGATAAGGCTGGTAAGGTTGGCAGTGGTATTTTCAGAGGTTTCTGTTTCACTCTAGAGAAGTAAGAACATTTTGGCCAGTAATGTTCTTTACATTGCTAAAGTCTCTATAGCCGTAGTTCTCAACCTTCCTAATGTCGCAACCCTTTAATACAGTTCCTGCGGTCACAACCCACAGGTTGAGAACCATTGCTCTAGATGCTTTCAAAAAATAGGTGAGTGCTTGTTCTCTTCCTTCTCCTGGTGGGCTGGCTCTTGTGATGAATGGGCCACACCACTTGCAGGACTGTCATAGGCCCACTGACTGGGCGCCAACAACTGTCCCTGAATTCTCCAAGAGTGCCAGCCCAGCCCCTGAAGACAAAGAGCCAGGTGGAGTCTAAGAACACGTGAATCCACACCTTCTAACTTGGTATAAGAGGGCTTTCAGACAGAAACACTGAAAAGTTTTATAATAAATTAGTATTAATGATGGCTTCAGCTCTGCCTCAACGGAAGAATTTTTCACTTTTCATCTTATAAAATATCTTTTAAAAAATGCCTTTCTCTTTGTACTGCAAAACAAATACCCAAAGGTTGTCAACTCTGATTAGGGTTTACTTTTCTCCTGCATCTTTGAAAAATCCCTTTCTGAGAAATCCCAAGGGTTGCAGGATTTTATTTACTCATTTGCCTTTGCTAGATTTCCTGAACATTGTAGGCTTTAATAAGTTCCCAGGGTAAGACCTCTTCCCGGAGGTGAATAGCCAAGAAGGCTGAACTCCATATTTACAAATGTTAAGTGGAAGTTCAGTCTTTTCTAGCCTACGGCTGTGGGAAGTGTGGTGGAAAGAGGACCCTCACTAATTACAACTTTCTTTGACCTGTTTTTCCCTAATGACCTGCCTTTTCTTCTAATTATCTCCATTTCTTTCTCTGTCTTTTCATGGGAGAAAACTAAGAGCCCTCGGCTTTACTTTTTTCTTTTTTTTTATTAAGAAAGAGTCTCATTCTGTTGCCTGCATAGAGTATAGTGGTATCTTTGTACTTCACTGCAATGCCCACCTCCTGGGCTCAAGTGATCCTCCTGCCTCAGACTCCTGAGTAGCTGTGACAGGTGCCTGCCATAACACCCAACTAGTTTTTCTGTTTTTAGTAGAGATGGGATCTTGCTCAGCCTGGGCTGGAACTCCGGAGCTCAGCTCAAGCCATCCTCCCACCGCAGCCTCCCAGAGTCTCGTCTTCTTTATTGATCAACTTGGGCTGCCATAACAAAATACCATAGAGTCAGTGGCTTAAACAACAGAAATGTATTTTCTCCGGATTCTAGAGGATAGAGTCCAAGATCAAGGTGTCTGCCAGTTCACCTCCTGGTGAGGGCTCTCTTCTGGCTTAACGATGGCTACCTTCTCACCGTGTCTTCAGATGGCTTTTCCTCTGCATATATACAACTGAGAGGGAGTGAGCAAGCACGCTGTTATGGGGTACCAGCCTTCTGGTGTTTCTTGTAAGAATCCTCTTGGATCAGGGCCCCACCATTATGACCACATTTCACCTTATTTTCTTAAAGGCTCTGACTCCAAATACAGCCACGCTTGTGGGTTAGAACTTCAACATATGAATTTTGGGAGAATGCTACCATTTGTAACAACTGCTGATAAATGAGTAGGAGCTAGTCAGCCTGCTGTCCAGTGGCACTTCTGGGCTTCAGGCTATTGGAGAGAATCTCCAAGTCTGAAAGGGCAGCAGAAGAGCAATGTTTAATTGTTAAATGTTTGGCTGGGCTTTTTGTAATGCTTTGAGGGAGGATTCAGAATAGTATAAGAGGTTAAAACCAAGCCAAATGTCTTTTTTCTTCTTGAGAGAGAGATAATTATGAAGAAAAGAAATTTCTACATCATATTTGCCAAAAGGCATATCTGTATGCATTACTGTTCTAATGTGAGAGCTGGTTACAAGTCCTGGCTCTGGGATTTATGAACTGTGCCCTTTAGCTAGTCATGTGGTCTTTTGAAGTAATATCCTCTATTCTATTACTACCTTAAAGTGTTGTGTTGTTCAAACAGTGCCTAAGGATGTGGCTAACATGATGGGGAACTTATTGCTACCTTTCACATGTCCTATTACTATAAAACAAGGGTCAGAGAAAGAAGAGTCTCTCTATTTAGGATTAATTCATATAACACAAATGTACTCAATACATGGGAGAGATTACCCACAGTTCTTGTAGAATATAATAGTTTAAGTGTGACCTCAGAAGACTTTAAATAACTCCAAACAGTAGACAAATTATGGACACATAGCCCAATAATTTTATTTATCAATAATATAGGATACTTTCTAAGTATCTGCTATGCTTTCCAGGCTCAGTGCCTGTAGCTCAAGTGGCTAGGGCACCAGCCACATAAACCAGAGCTGGTGGATTCGAACCAGCCCAGACCTGCCAAACAACAATGACAACACAACCAAAAAATAGCCAGGAACCTGTAGTCCCAGCTACTTGGGATGCTGAGGCAAGAGAATCACTTAAGTACAAGAGTTTGAAGTTGCTATGAGCTGTGCCACCACGGCACTCTACCCAGAGCGACAGCTTGACACTCTGTCTCAAAAAAAAAAAATATTAATAATAATAATAATAATAATAATGCTTTCTAGAGCTTTACTTTGGGCCACACATTATTTCCATTAATTGTGTGGGAGGATGGAAGAGTGGAAAGAATGGCTTCAACATCATTCAGAAGTAAGTTCCCAGGGCAGCTGGTATCAGACAGCAATGTTCAAATCCTGAGTCCACCACGTACTAACTGTGTGGCCTGCACAATCTGCTTCTCCATTTCCTCATCTATAAAATGGAAATGATGGGTATGATAGGGTTGTTGTGAAGATTAAATTAGATAACATACATTCAGCTTATTTAGCAAGCTCTCAGTAAATTACTGCTAGGCCTGCTTTTACCTCTGGGATGCCATGAAGGCCACCTCCAAGTTTATTTATCTATAAGATATAGCTATAGATCACTTACTTTACAGGCTTGCTATGAGGATTAAAGGGGGTAAGAAGTAACCTAGTTGTCCATCTTTCACATTTGTGAGCACTGAATAAGTGGTAGTTCCCCACCCTTGTCACTCCCTTGGTTTCCCCACCTGCATCCCCAACTAAAATAAAAAGCTAAAAGGATTATCTTGCTATTAAGCCTGAAGACATACTGAGCCCCCCCCCCCCAGAACAAAGCCACATACCAAAGTATGAAGTAGCTCTCCTCTGTCTCTTGTTGTTATACCCTGTGGAAACCGAAGTCTGTTGTGGAATGAGGAGGGGGCTGCATATATAATGTGCATGCCCAGAATCCCAAGTTAAGAGAGATATTAGCAGGAATAAAGGCTGTGGAGGGGATTGTTCCTGCCATGGGACCATGCTACACTTTGAATGTGTCTCCCAAAGTTCATGTGTTGGAAACTTAATCCCCAATGGAACAGCATTGGGCAGTGAGACCTTTAAGAAATGATCTTGAATGGATTAACATTATTGCAAAAGTATATTTGTTATAAAAACAAAATGCCCTTGCCAGAAGGAGCTTCTCAATCTTGGACTTAACCCCCTCCAAAACTGTAAGAAACAAAGTCCTGTTTATCATAAATTACCCAGTCTCAGATATTTGGCTATAGCAGGACAAAATGGACCAAACCAGTCCATATTCCTCAAACTCTGCTCATGAATTTTGAAAACCCTATTCCTCCTGCCCCCACCTCCCATAATTTGTCTCCAGTTTTCCTATCTCAGTAGATGGCACCACCCTCCCCACCCCCAGCCACTAAGCCAGAACCTAAGACTCCTCTTTGACTCCTCCTGACTCATCTTTTATTCATCTAGAGATGCATCTGCATTTTCTTCATCCCACAGTCCCTCCATCCATAAGCTGTGCCTCTAAAGAACAGAATCCAGGCCCTTCTCATGACCACCATGCTGATTGAAACCACTGGTATGTTTCTGCCTGGAATCTTGCAAAAGCCTCTTAAGTAATCTGTAGGGCTTCTTTACAGGCTACCTCCAATCCATTCCATAAAGAACCAAAGTGATCTGTTTAAAGCATTAATCCAACGTCTCATTTTTTTAAACTCTCTAGTGGCTTCTCATTGCCCTTAGAATAATCCTCCCCTCTTCTCTAGAATGCCCTGTGGGTAAAAGGTTATGTCGTTGGGAGGCCTTCTCAGCACCCAAAATAAAAAAATGTGCTCTCCTTTGACTATACTTTAGCCTATTACCCTATTTTATTTCTTTTGGGTAGGTATCACTTAAAATGCTCTTAACCATGTTTCTATTTATAGTCAGTCTCCCCAAGGGCAGAGACTTTATTTTGTTCCTGTCCGTATCTTCAGGGTCTAGAACAATGCCTGGTGCATAGTAAGTACTTATAAGTATGTATCAAATGAAGAGCATCCAATAAGTTTGATCACCTATATACAAGGGCTATGGCAACTTTGTACAATCTAGAACCTTCCACATTATCCCCAGCTGATGGAAGTAGTGTCACTGTTCTACCAACTAAATTCCAATTCTCTGACTAAATAAGGCAGTATTCTTGGCATTGTACAAGGTCTACAGTAATTTTTAAATTTTTTACTTTTATTCTCCTGATAATTTAAAACACCTCATAGGTACATATTCTAAATCAACTCTGGTGGCCCTCAGCATCTGAGGTCTTTGCCTCCTCTAGTTTAATACTATGTATCCTGTACAAAACCAAGTCCACAGGGGAGGAGGCACCTTCTGCCCTTGGAAGGACCTACATATCTGTCAGGTAATGCACTGAACTTCAAAGCTTTTCTTAAATTCTGCATATTAATTACCTCTGCTGGCCCTTGCTTCACCCAACTTTAGCATAAAGCAAAGACTCATGGTATAGAACAATTCAGACTCATAGTAACAAAAGTTTAAAATGTTCATTTTTTACCTAACTATATAATTTTGCAAATGTCTTAGATCATTTTGTGATGCTAGGACAGGATACTTTTCACTAGATAATTTATGAGATGAAATTTATTGGCCAACAATCTAGAGACTGAGAAGTCCAGTATCAAAATACCAGCATCTAGCAAGGGCCTTGTGTGTCATCACATGGTGGAAGGTGAGAAAGGGTCAGAGGGGGCTGAACTCACCCTTTTATAATGACAGCAATCCCACCCAAGAGAGAGGAGCCCTCATGGCCTCATCACCCTTAAGGGTCCCACCTCTTAATACTGTTGCAATGGCAATTAAATTTCAACATGAGTTTTTCAAGGGACAAACATTCAAACTATAGCATTAAAATTAACGTCTGGGAAAATAGCACTGATGTACCTTCGTTTACGTTGATAGAAAAGAGAGTACTAGTTCCCTGCTAGAGAAAGTCAGTGCTATGAGGAATGCTCCATGGCTAGTAATTGGCAATGCTGTTTCTACACCTATGTTGGCTACTAGGTGACTAAGGTTTTATATTTATTAAAGGTCTGCTATTCCACATATGACAATACTGTTTAATTACTTGACACATCATTTTTCTTCTATGACAAAATTTTGTTTGCAGTTTTTAAGAATTCCAGGAGTTGTGAAGATATTTAGAAGAGCAAGAGATGTAAAGGGACCACATGAGTAATCTAGGAGGGATCAATTATAACAGAGGTCCTCCTGATGTTATTTATGCCTGAGAAGCAGAATATACCAGGGTTAAATATATGGTCTGGAGTCAGGGAGAACTGCAGGCCAGCCCTGGCTCTGCCATTACTCAAGCCATGATCTTAACCCTCCTCTTCTTTGGCTTCCTTATCTATAAAGAGGGAATGATAACAGTGCTCGTGTGGGGTCATTGTGAAAATTAAAGGGGCTGTCAGCATACCTGGCACATGGTGAGTTCCCAGCAACTAGTCCATGGATGGTATCACATTCTTGATTCGCTTAGGCTCTTTGCCTCCTGCATTTATTCCTCTTTGGACCCCAGAGTCTGCTATAGGGATGTCTTAATACATGAATCCATGTATTTAGTGGCTCTAATTGACTTAACAGAGAAAACAGAAGGCCTAGGCCAGGCGTCCTCAAACTACAGCCCACGGGCCACATGCAGCCCACCGAGGACATTTATCCAGCCCGCCAGGTGTTTTTGCTGGATTGCCTGTTCTGCTTAGCAGCCAGCTTGTCCAGGGCCTGCAGTCCAGCCCTCCAACGGTCCGAGGAACAGTGAACTGGCCCCCTGTTTAAAAAGTTTGAGGACCCCTGGCCGAGGCCCACGTTGTGTCATCGTCACTGATTAGCTATATAATCTCAAATGAATCTCTTTTCCTCTCTAGGTAGTTTCTATCTTCTAAGAAGGAAATCATAAGACTTGCCCTACTTAACAGAGTTCATGAGGATGAAATGAAATTGTAAAAATGCTATAAGGTTTAAAAATATTATTCAAGTGAAAATGTGATATTATGGCAACTTGGCATGCTAGATATGAAGTAACAGACTTTTCAAATATGGGCTGTTGATGGACCTTTTCTATTTGAGAATGCATCTAAATTCTTCCTTGTTCATGCAACAAGTGATCTCTGAAGAAAGGACCACTGGCCACATAGCAAAGGCTAAATAAATTCATGGGGTGGAGACCCCACCCCATCAACTTTGCTTTCCATGTATTTACCAGGTGTCACCAACACATCATCATCCGGTGAGCACTGGAGAACAGAGACAGCACAGCCACACAATCCTGTCCTCCCCACCCAGGGGCACCGTCAGCCTAAGGTATGAATGCTTGAAACTCCACACACCTCACCACAGGGGAACTAACAGTAAAACACAAAAAGAACAAAGAAACCAGAGTGATGATCCTCCATAAAATTTCCCCACAATCAATAGATGGGTAAAAGAAAGGGGATTTCATTAACTATTAGTGAAGATGTGTTAGGTGATTTCTTGGGGGAGGTAGTAATGGTTTACAGTAAGTTTTTTGTAGGATACATAATAGTGATTCTTAGGGCTACTTAGAATCATGTTGTATTAATTTTTATATTAAATGAGCTACAACATACAATTTTTAGTACAGATCAAGCACAATCTGCCCAGGAGAACATAGTAGTCCCTTTTAATCTGTGATTTCTCTTTTTGTAGTTTCAGTTACCCATGGTCAATCACAGTTCAGAAATATTAAGGGAAAATCCTAGAAATAAACAATTCATACGTTTTAAATTGCATGCCATTTTGAGTAGCATGTTAAGATCTCAGGCACCATTCTATGCTTTTCTGATCTGGGCATGAATCTTCCCTTTGTCCAGTGTATCGCCACTGTCTGTGCTTCCCACTCATTAGTCATTTAGCCATCTGGGTTATCAGATCAACTGTTGTGGTATTACTGTGCTTATGTTTAAGCCACCCTTATTTTGCTTAATAATGGCTTCAAAGAGACACTACAAACACATTCCTAAGAGGGAAATTGATTGCATTAGATACCCACATCCAAAAAAACCAGGAGAGCGTGTTTCAACAACCTAATGAATCATCTCAAGGAACTGGAAAAGAGCAATCCAACCCCAAACTAGCAGAAGAGAAATAACCAAAATTAGATCAGAAATAAATTGAAAGCAAAAAAATCACTCACTAGCCAGGCGTTGTGGCAGACTCGGCCTGTGGTCCCAGCTACTCAGGAGGCTGAGGCAGGAGAATTTCCTATGTCCAGGAACTGGAGGTTGCTGTGAGCTGTGTGATGCCATGGCACTCCACCGAGGGTGATAAAGTGAGACTCTATATCTATAAAAAAAAACCTCACAAAATTAACAAAACAGAAAGTTGATTCTTTGAAATGGTGAACAAATTCAATAAACCTTTCACCAGATTAACTAGAAGCAGAAAAGTAAGATCTCTAATAACCTCAATCAGAAATGAGAAAGAGGAAATAACAGATTCCACAGTGATATAAGAAATCACCTCTGATTAATACAAAATAATTCTATGCCCAGAAATTTGAAAATGTAAAGGAAATGGACCAATACCTAGAACCACACCTTTTCCCTAGACTTAACCAAGAAGAAATAGAAATCTTGAACAGACCAATATCAAGCACTGAAATTGCAACAATAAAAAAGCTCCCAACAACAAAGAAAGGTCCTGGACCAGATAGCTTCACACCAGAATTGTACCAAACCTTCAAGGAAAGCTTGTGCCTTTACTGCAGAACTCTTCCAAAACATTGAGAAGATAGGAACCTTCCCTGACATGTTCTGTGAAGCAAGTGTCATCCTGATTCCAAAACCAGAAAAGGACCCAACAAAAAAGAACAACTTTAGACCAATTTCACTAATGAATATCATTGCAAAAATATTCAGTAAAATCCTAGCAAATAGAATATAACTATACATTTAAAAAATTAAACATCACGATCAAGTAGGCTTTATCCTAGGGATGCAAGTTATCCTTCATAACTTGCATCCCTATGCAAGGGATGCATATGTTTGTGTATGTTGTGTATTCAACATACACAAATCCATAAATGTAATCTACATCATCAATAGAAGCAAAAACAAAGACCATATGATTGTCTCAATAGATGCAGAAAAAGCATTCAACAAAATTTGGCATCCTTTTCTGATAAGAACACTTATGAAATTAGGCATAGATGGGACATTTCTTAAGCTGATTAAAGCCATCTATGACAAACCCACAGCCAATATCATACCAAAGAGAATAAAACTGGGCTCGGCTCCTGTGGCTCAAGTGGCTAAGGTGCCAGCCACATACACCTAAGGTGGTGGGTTTGAATCCAGCCCGGGCCGCCAAACAACAATGATGGCTGCAACCAAAAAAAATAGCCAAGTGTTGTGGTGGGTACCTGTGGTCCCAGCTACTTGGGAGGCTGAGGCAGGAGACTCGCTTGAGCCCAGGAGTTGGAGGTTGCTGTGAGCTGTGGTGCCACAGCACTCTGCCCAGGGGGATAGCTTGAGGTTCTGTCTCAAAAAAAATAAAATAATAAAATAATAAAATAAAACTGAAAGCATTTCCACTTAAAACTGGCACCAGACAAGGATTTTCACTGGTGCCACTACTATTCAACATAGTGCTGGAAGTCACTGCAGTCAGGTGAGAGAAGACATCAAGGACATCCAAATGGGGACAAAGGAGTTCAAACACTTGCTCTTTGCTGAGATATGATTTTATGTGTAGAAAACTCTAGAGACTCAACCATGAGACTCCTAGAAGTGATCAAGAAATACTGTCATATCTCAGGATATAAAATCATTGTCCACAAATCAATAGCCTTCACATATGCCAATAAAAATCAAGCCAAGAATCAAATCAAAGACACAATACCCTTCACAGAAAATGAAATACTTAGGAGTATACCTAACAAAAGAGGTGAAGAACCTCCAAGAAAAGAAATGGCAGAAGACAAACAAATGGAAAAACATGACATGGTTTTGCTGAGGAAGAATCAACATTGTTCAAATGTCTGCTGCCCAAAGCAATCTACGGATTCAATGCAATCCCCATTAAGATACCAATGCCATACTTTGAAGAAATGGAAAAAATAGCTCTTCATTTTGTATGGAACCAGAAAAAAACCCATATAGCCAAGGCTATTCTTAGTAATAAAAACAAAGCCAGAGGCATCACTCTACCAGAATACAAGTCCACACAGTGATCAAAACAACATAGTATTGGCGCAAAAATAGAGATATAGACATATGGAACAGAAGAGATGAAACCAGCCTCATATCGCCATCTGATCTTTAATAAACCATACAAAAGCATATACTGGGGAAAAGAACCCCTTTTCAATAAATGGTTCTGGGAGACTGAAACTAGCCTGCACCTTTCACTACTTATCAAAGTTAATTCATGATGGATAAAAGATTTAAATACATGACATGAAATGATTTAAAAAAAAACTCTAGAAGAAAATATGGGGAAACTCTTGATATCAGCCCGGGGAAACATTTGTGAAGACGACTCCATTGGCAATTGCAGCAACAACAAAAATAAGTAATTGGGACTTAAGCTAAAAAGTTTCTGTACAACTAAGAACAAAATAATTAAGGCAAATAGACAACTTTCAGAGTCTGTCTTTTCAGAGTGGGAAAAGATATTTAAATGTTACAAATCTGACAAAGGGATGGCCAAAATATATAGAGAATTCAATCAACAAGAAAAGGGCAAACCATCTCATTTATCATTGGACCAGAGACATGAACTGAACCTTCTCCAAAGAAGACAGACAAATGGCTAACAAACATGAGAAAAATGCTCATCGTCCCTGATCATCAGAGAAATGCAAATCAAAACCATCTTGAGATTACCTAACTCCAGTGAGAATAGCCTACATCACAAAATCCCAAAGCTGCAGATGCTGGCATAGTTGTGGAGAGAAGGGAACACTTCTGCACTGTTGGTGGGATTGCAGACTCTACAACCTCTTTGGAAAGAGAAGAATCCTCAAAAGAACTAAAAGTAGACCTTCTGTTTGATTGTACAATCCCAATACTAGTTATTTCCCAGAAGAAAAAAGATCATTTTACCATACGGACATTTGTGCTTGAATGTTTATCATAATTCAATTCACAATTACCAAGATGAGGAATCAACCCAAGTGTCCATGAACCCATGAAGGGATTAATAAACTGTGGTGTATCTGTATACCATAGAATACTGTTCAGCCATAAAAAAGGAGACCTTACATCTTTTGTATTAATGTGGATGGGGTTGAACATTGCTCTTAATAAAGTGAATCAAGAATGGAAAAGCAAGTATCCAATGCACTCAGTACTAATATGAAGCCAATAGATGAACAACTACACACCCTCATGAGAGGAAAACGTAATTCCAGTGGGGAGGAGAGAAGAAGGGCATTGGTAAGCTTTCTCACGGGTACAGTGTAAGGTATACAGCACACCTCCTGGGTGAAGAGCTGAACTACAACTTGGACTTTACCTAGCAAATACAAACCATATAACCTCATCATCTGTGCCTTCACATTAATCTGAAATTTAAAAAAATAATAGTGGCCCTAAAGAGCAAGAATAGTGGCTCAGCACTTGTGGCTCAAGTTGCTAAGGCGCCAGCCACATACACCTAAGGAGGCAGGTTCGAATCCAGCCCAGGCCCACCAAACAACAATGACGGCTGCAACCAAAAAATAGCCAGGCGTTGTGTCAGGCGTGTGTAGTCCCGGTTACTTGGGAGGCTGAGGCAGGAGACTTGCTTGAGCCCAGGAGTTGGAGGTTGCTGTGAGCTGTGATGCCACAGCACTCTACCCAGGGTGACAGCTTGAG